AAACATTTCCCATAACTCAAAAGCAATAAGCTTTGCCTTAAATGCACACACATACATATAACTTTCTACGATAAAGCTGACACCTGCCATTACTAGGGTCTCTAGTTGGTTCCAAAAGGTTTCACAAATCGAATTTCAAGACACCGGCCACGTTCTCTTTAGTGCCGAGGCAAACCGGCTTGAACTAGTCCAACAAAAAATAGTTGACGATTATTGGACAATCTAAGTTAATTTCCTAGTAGTTAATTCAGTCAGGTTCCTTAATTTTAGAAGCATTGGATTGCGCATTCCAAGAGCATTCTGGTGGCTTGGCAATAACAGGCTGTCACCCTTAATCTCCAGGATGGGGAACCACACAGTCCATACAAGGTCTCTTTAATCACTGCATTGATGTTTCAATGGAATATAACTAATGTAGTAGAGGAGGAAGATTTATAAAAATTTGCGTGACATAAAGATCACTTTGTCCACACTTCAGAACAAACATTTTGTACAAAAACACTAAAATGACTTGAGGCATAAGATGGCATAAACCGCGAGTGGAAAATTCGGTTGGAGAGAGCCAGAAAGGTAGTACGTGATCTCTTGATAAGTACCAAATGTCATCGTTTGATGGGGTCATGTGACAAAAGTGTGGACAAAACAGTTGCAGTGCAGTAAATCGACGGGCACATTCCGCGCTTCTTAAGACATGAGTTATGCCACGTTACAGTAGAGACAGGAAAAATCTTCATCTCTTTGTCCAGTTTCTGATCGCCTGATGCTACATGTGAACTTGATTGTCAAAATCCAGCCTTAGGCAATGCGCAGCTATCCTCCTATGCCTCACTGGCACAAGCCTGTGAAATAAATTGAGTAATTCTGTCACAGCCTCATTACATCGTTCAACTTCCAGGAGTGGATGAAGGAGTTAAAGAAGTTGAATAAGGTAGAGGAAAGCCAACCATTGTCTAAATATGAAACAGGTATTATTTGAAAATGCCTACGTACGTAGAATAAGCAATCCTTGTCTTCTTACTCTCTCACTAGGCATTATCTTGATCTTTTAAAGCATTGATGCAAAAAA